ACATGTCACATCGACCCCCCTGTGCATGGATTCTGAACATGACAAGACGTCTAGGCTTGCCACTCGGGGTGGCAGAAGCATAGAGGTCCATCGAGAATGGCTTTGACCCTGGTATTATGTTCAGTAATCGCACAGCTTGCTGCCGGCAGGCCCCGTTCGCATTGCGCTTCTCTGAAACCGTCAACACCTGGAGCGAAACGAAACCAAAGGGCCAGCGATTGTCCGCTTCAGCGCAGCAGCTGGAAACGCAACATCCAGCTTGGGAATCGCTTGACGTCAACGGTTTGGTTCATCTTCACGCCACTAGACATGAAGATGAATGAGTGGATGATGAGTGGAAGGGCAAGGGCTTATCTTGGAGTTTGCTCTGACTGGCTTGACACACCGTATTCAAAAATATGTGTATCAATCATGACAAAATAAAACAACATGTTTGCACATGCTTGCTGCTTGCGAAGGAGAGCTCTGATAAACTTGGACAACTCAATAAAATCATGAACACACTTACAACGAGGATCAACAAAGCAAACCTGTTTGTTGAACCCACTCCCCGGAACAGGATGAGTCCACCACACGGACCCCCCCAAACCATGGACATGTCCATTCCATGTCCTGTGATTCAGAGCGATTCATGTTTGGGACTTTGAGATGAAGCGGTTATACATTGAGACATCGCTCCCGCTTGAGCCATCACTCCAGCTCCCGAAGGTCCGCACGCTGGGAGAGACCCTTTGGAAGAGCGCTGCAGCCCGAAGCTCCTTGGTCGTGCTCGTGCTCGCTCGGTGGTCTGGTGAGGCTCTTCAGCGGACGACAGGTCTTGTGAGGCTGAAGCACAGTCCGAGGGAAATGACTCCTCAAGACAGGTTACAGGTTATCCACCGACGTGGTAGGTCTTGACGACGTGGTTTTAATGTCTGAAAGTGTAGTCATGTCAACTCCCACACAACAGGTTGAGGCTGGTTCCTGCCCAGGTTCGGTTGGGCCGTCCGACTGTCTTCCTCCATGAATTTTGTTCTCAATATGTCACACAACAGGTCGAACTTGACACATGTGGCTGTGGGTAAAAACATGTAAAAACCAGGATACCTTGGTGCGCAACAACCTCCGCATGCTCCCCAAACATCCCTTGACACAACAGTGGTACCAGGTGTGATGGGGGTGAGAATAAACACAAAAAGAATGGTTGGTGACATGCATGTGTGTAGAGTGGCAACAAGCCACTAATTAAAACACGATGAACCACAGCAGTAAAGTCTGAACTGGGACCAACGGCTCGTGAATTAAGACGGACAAACGGCAAAACTGCTCTAATGCACTATCACTATCCTGATGCAACTAATTCGGAAATGGATCGTGTATCGAACCGTATGGATTATGTTTCCTTTGTTTGTTCCAAAGTTTCCATGTTCAGCTTGTATGTCTCTTGGTATGGGATCTCTGGCTTCATTGTGCTGTCTGCAGAAGCGCTTGTGTTGTATCGACATGCATTGTTGCATCCATATGATACCGGGGGATTTTCACAAACTTCAAGCTGATATGGTTGTATATGGTCAACAGCGTTTCTTTCGCTTTTGGATTGAGACATTAAGGCCTAAAAGGCAAACCCCGCCAAATTTGTCATGTAAGTAAAGCCCAGGCCCAGTCTCTCCAGGCCAGCATCTCGTTATGTATATATACTGCAATATATATATATATGTATATATGTTGGGACAAGGTTGATTTGTGCGTCCATGCCTCAAGATGTCACGTCGAGTCAAACAAATGGTTTCTGCTTGGAGTTTCTGTTTGACCGTTGATGGCCAGGCAAGACTTGTATGTGTGGGTACATGGGATCAAGTGCAGAATGCCAGTGGTCAATGTAAAACTTATAGCTAGCTCTGTCTATCGGGGTCACTAGCATCTGGCTATGACCAAGTGGTGGCCATACCAGCAATTTGGCAAATTTGTTAATCTGTTATAGCTTTGGTGCCAGCTTTGGTCTGTTTCATTTTGTATCCTTTCTGCACCGTGGCTTCATTAAGAGCAATGATGTATCTCCATACAGTATGCATTACCTTTTGAATGGTGTGACTTCACCTTGTCAGGATACCTTGGTTGAGGTCAAGCTACATGGTGGATCAGGGCTCCAGGTTTTGACCCGCCCATCCGCATGTCATCCATTATTTCCACCCAATTCCGAATGGGACAGACCGACAGCCATCAAACGGTTCACCTCTGGCATCAAGGCTTGCGCAGTCGCTGGAGAGGCCTTGGCAGATCATGCACGGCCAGGTGCACAGAAGAAATGGTCTGTCATGGCGAAAGTGGAAAAAAGAGTGGTGCTGAAGAACATGCTTTTACGGTTGCTTGCGCTGTATGTACCTTGGTCTGTGACTGATTGATGTGTCAATAACTCGTCGGATTGTTTTGTTGTTTTTTCTTCCGACGCGTCACGGTTTTGTGTCAAGAAACCGCTTCGTTTCTTCTGGGTTCCCGGTACAACCTCACCAGGATTGAACAAAAGGAATCAACGACTCTTGCCTGTTTTCCCCAGTGGAATGCAACAACCAAATTCAGTAAGGTCATGGTGGAGTTTTCAAGCTCGCAAAAACACGCGGACAAACAGACCAGGTGACAACCCTGTGACCAAACAGGAAACACAACTGTGTGCAAGGAGTCTCCCCATCAACATTATGGCGGCCTGGGAAGTTTCACCATATTGAACCCCACTCTTCAATTGTCACACCTATCCCTGATGCTCTTGGATCAGAAGCTCAAGCTCCACGGAGAAAAATCGCTTTGGCCTCCAATCTCAGTCAGGACCTCCCTCCTCATCCAAGCATCATTCCTCCACCCATTCCCCGGAAGGTGTGCGTCCCAGCTGCCGCAGGGGCAAGCAATCCAGCGAACAGCGAGCGGCGAGCCAGAGATGGCTTGGCCACCTGGGCCAGTGTGGTGTCGGTTGCTGCAAATGGTGGACGGTGGACTGGTCGCCAGCCTTTGACCCATCCCAATGTCTGGGCCCGTTCTCCCCGGACGGCCGCGGTGTCCAACGCTGGCTGGGGCGAGTCGAAGGTCACAAGTTCCATCGGTGGAAGTGGAGGTTTCACCCAGACGTGTGAGTGGAACAAGAAACGGTGGAACAGAGCAAGAAGAACACCATGGCCCAGATGGTGGAAGCTTCGGAGGTTTTTACAGGAACTGAGAGGGCGGGCATGAGGGTCACGAGGGGATGATGTCAAAACTTAAATAGGCCCAAATGAAATGACCAAACAGAACTGCGATTCTACTTATACTATAATACAGTACAATATTACTAGATATAAGTCTGTCTAGGGGCCTTGACATGTTGACGAAGGTTTCGCGGGGAAGTGCATAATGCAGAACTATACAGAACTGAAACACGTGTTCTAGACACTCAATTAGAATATACGAAACAAATTAAAACAGTATGTCAAAGCTTAAAGCTCATGTCAGGAAAACAATAGAAAGAACGCTGCACATGAATCATTACTAGGACCCCCAGTCGGGGTGGGTGCATTAACCGCCCCGGCGATCAGCTCGTTTCGGGGCTATCAACAAAACTTATGGTGTCCTGGTAGGAGCAATGCACGGCTACTAGGGGCTCCTGGCATCGTTACTAGGAGCAAGAAGCTACTAGGAGCAAAGGGCATCGCTACTAGGAGCAATGGACGCTGCTAGGGGCTCCTGGCCTTACTACTAGGAACAAGAACGCTACTAGGAACAAACATTCTTTTTTCACCCCTTATGGTGTCCTGGTAACCATGAATGGTTCTGCCCGGGTGTCCGCGGGAGAACAACCGTTCTCGGCGACAGACCGCTGAAGCGGTGAGGAGCGGAACCGGAAGGTCCCCGGTACCACGGCAAGTCAATCCCCGTGGAAGCAAGGAGTCTGAACCTGAAGTCTGTCACGCTACATATGCTTGATCAGGGGACGCTTCATTGCACGAGCGTGCGGCTTCCAGGGGAGATCTGATTCGAAGGCGCTCGAATTCGAGGGATCGCGCAGGTGGTTTCCTCCAGTTGTGTTGTCCAGGAACTTTGAGACTGGCCTCATCTCAGCAGACAGAAAGCGTTGACCCAAGGTAGAGGAACTACGTAGTTCTAACATGACATGTTAGAACTACGTAGTTCCTCTACCTTGGGTGAACGCTTCAATGTCTATATATGGGTTGATATGTACTCCGTCATCTCCGTGACTTCTCGCCCTCCTTTGCGCCGTTCTCTAACGGCATCTCCGTTCGCGCCTCGCGTTCGGTCGCTCGCTGAGCACCTGGGTGTGGAGGCTTGAGACGTCGAAGAATTCATTGGATTGGGTTTCAATAAGGGAACATTTGCAGGAAACCATGGGTTTCACCCCCTAACCACCATGAGTTTCCTTCCTAGATGTTCCCTGAAATCACCAATGCTGGCGCCAAGCACTCACCCCAAAAAAGATACCTGGACCATCCTGTGACCCTCTTGTCTGAGGTGTCCTGGCCGCCAGAGGCTTCCAAGTGTGGTCTGGACGGTCCGTGATGGCAGGCCCGAGCATCGAACATCGAACCCGACCAAAGCAAACGTGATGCGGGAAACAACTGGACAATTATGGTCAACTTGACCAGAATACAAGTTGCAAGATGTTGCAAGTAGACTGGGAACTGGACATCCATTCGCCAGCAAATCAGTGGATGTACTCCTAGATTGGTGGTTTCCAATGGTTCTGTGAGCTCTTTCTCCTGGCCCAAATAGATCGGACTTCCGTTCCTTCACCCTCGCCGACCGCTCCGACCAGGTCACCTCCGATCATCTGCGACCGCACCCGCAGTCGCCATCACAATCGCAGGACTTCGCGGTGCGGTGCGCTCTTTCACCGTGGAGGACCGCTGTACATGGCCGAAGATGGCCGAAGCTCCAATCAAAGAGCCAAAACCCCAGACAGGACCTGTCTGGGACTGGAATACATATACATCGTTACATCGTCATACATTGATCCCCCGAAACTCACCACCCCAATGTAGGTACATGTGGCAGTCCCATTTAGTCATGTCTGGGAACCCAAAACATGCGCGTCATTGCGCACGACGTGTACACCTCAATCGAGGACCGCTGTACAATCTCCATCGAGGACGTCGAGGACCGCTGATGTTATCGATTTTCTCCATGCGCACGTCAGTCGCGTCGCCTCCAGCGCCGGCCAGACGCACACAGCGCGCTTGGGACATGCAGGGCGCTTGGACCATGGGACTCGCCCGAGCAGTTGCTCTCTTTGGGTTCGTCCAGGTGTGGATCAGGTGCGGAGTCGCTGAGGTGGCCACTGAGGTCTTTGAACAAGCTGTGGATGGCATCGATGGCATGCTGTGGAGGCGTGCGGGTTCCAATGCCCGCAAAGCTCATGGTGCGGGAAAGGATGGGTGGTGATGCAGGCGTCCAAGCTTGTGCCAGGCAGTCCCAACGTTTCCAAACCGCAGAGTTCACTTCATAGAGATACAAGTGACAAGACTCAGCAGCTTCAACACCGATGGGCTGAAAGCGATCCACATAAACCTGTGCAGCCCACTTGGTCCCACCGCCCATTCGCAAAGGGTATGATGCTTCCAAGTCTTCCCAGATCACTGCAATCCTCGCGTGTAGATCAGGGACTTGGAAACCCAAACACTCCATATATGCATACATTAACCCCTGAAACCACCCCGATTTGTATGTAAAGATGCCAGCCCCATGGAGTGCCGGGGCAAGGCCAAGCCAAAACCATGTCTGAAATTCTTCCATCCCAAGGCTCATGGCATCTGCCCAGAGGGCTTGTAGCACGTTCCGGCGGAAGAGTGCCAACACATGCGGCTTCCGCGGGACACTCTGTCCCAAGGAGCCGGCTGCAACATGAAGATACGGATCACAAAGCCGAGCGATGTCCTATCACAGGAGTGATTGATGTCATGGCTTCACAAGTCCAGATAAGCATGGTCTGACTTGGGGTTATAAGAATGCCAACTGGAGAACCACTAAGTTATACATCCAAAATGATTCCCCCCAAAAAAATCACATGTTATCATATTGTTCACAATATATCTATACCGTTTATACTGATTATGTCTTCTCAATGTTCATTGACTCACTTCCCACGGTCTGGCTTATATATAGCGTCTCTGAGCTTTCCAACACACCATGGTTCATTCCAATCTGCTGATGGGTGGACCAGTAAGATGATCTACAACTCTCAACAACATCTGTGGATCTGTGGATATCTGTGGTATTATCTAGGGTTGTGTCATGTTTGGTAAGTCAAAATACTTATAGTGGGTTGAGAGTAAATGGCACAATCCCCAAGCTTGGTGGTTTAGTAGTGGACCCCAAAAATAAAAGACATCTTGGGGTGCCAGTGCCATCTACTCTCAATCCACTGTAACTTGATACCTCTTGAGATCCAAATGCCTGGATCCTAGAAGACGATAGGCTGGTCTCAACAGATCTCCCCAATGGAAACCACCTCAAACAGCAGCAGCACCCCCCCAAAATGCTTATTTTTTACACATTCCAGCTTCTTCAAAGTGACCTCTTTGGAGTTCCTAAGTGACCTTTTACAGGCCCAAGTGACCTCAAACTGGGATATGAAGGACGGTCACTTTGAAGAACCAGGTTATTACGGTGATTGAATGGTAAACAATGCATGGTAAACACATCCTCCGGATCTCTAGGGGTGTCATCAAATACAGGTGCTGGAAACAGACATGGTAAACGTGTTCTCTCCGTGTTCGTTTTTTCGTCCTCAGGGAGATTCACCCGCCCCTCAGGGCGAGCTCGAAAGTCATGGCCTTCAAAGGACCAATGGATGCACTGGCCAAAAGTGAGCTGGGCCATGGCAGCGTCAAAGATGGCATCAACACCCTCAGCACCACCTGACCGAACTCCGCCGCACCCGCGCGGAAGGAAAGACGCGCGGAACCGCGTCTGAGCGTGTTCGGGTGAAAAAAGACACGGAAAAATGAGGCGTCCCAAACGAGGACCTCATATGGGAGACATCGTGTACCATCATGTGGGGGTCTCAAATCGTTTTGAGGGACCGTTCCGGCTGGTTTCACGGAGCGCATGAGAAAGCCATTGAGCCACATCCACCTGAGAAGAGCACCAAGGACTCAACAGCTGCAGGTCCTGAGAGTTGACATCGCCGAAGGATCTCAGGCAAATCTGGCATGGCAGCACATGTGCGTGCCGCGATGCTACGGGCGCCACGTGCGCCACGCTCGTGCCATGTTCGTGTTGGTGGCTTATGCCGACTTGGAGCTCCGACTTGTGGTCCATAGAGGTCAGGGGAGCTCTGCGACCAGGGCTTTGCCGTGTGGTCATGGCATCCAGGTGCCATGGCTTGAAAGAGAGCAGGGGCAGAGGATGGAGGTCGGAGATCTGTTGATTCATGTGGTTTCTGGATCTCGGTGGTCGGCATCAACTTTGACATGTTCGGACACTCAGGCGGATGCGCCGGATGCTGGGTCTTGCTGCTTCGGGTCGTGCTTTTGCCCACCACCCAACTGATTGAGCTTCAGAACAATTCTCAGAAGATAGCTATAGATGGTCTGCTGAGCCCCAAATATTGAGGAACCCAAAAAAGGCAACGGCGCCATGCTGTTCAGCCTGCTCAGCATGGCCAACGCCCCCCGTTTCCGGACGGGGACCGGGGCGGTCCGGGCGGCCCGGTCCCGAGCCGGGTGGGGAGTTGGGCGGCATTTCTGGAGCTCTCAGAGCTGAAGGTCCCGGAATTCGCCACGTGTTACATGGCAAAAAACGAACAGGGGATGAAACTGCCCATGAATTCAATCTGATTGGCTTTGCCATCCTGAATCTGTGAGGTGTATGAGGTGTCCAAGCAAACCTTCTCTCAAGTCAATTCGCTTAACCCACCGAGTTTGTGCATCAAGTACGGGGCCCCCAGCCGGACTCAGGCCCAGGGAGGACGTACAAGGTCTGGCGGGTGCAGGCAAACGATGTTTTCGTGCAATGGTTTGCTAGCCACCAGCCCTGAAACAATCCAAAACTGACATCGAAGAGGGTGACGAAGGGGGATGGCAGTCGAAGTGCCATTGACAACATGGAGATATGTAGGGCGTGTATGAAAATGGGACGACCTCCCAAAGACCCAATTGGAAACCAACATCCATTGGTTAGGGGTCTCATCCTACCCAAATCAATCAAACAAACGACTTGTGGTTGTCCTCGAATGTCCTCGACCTGTTGCTTATGAGTCCTGCATCTTCAGTCTCTCCCCATCTGTTTGCTCCGAGGAGAGCTGTCTTTGTGGATGTCCAGTGTGGCTCATAGAAGTTCACCAAGGCAAACCCACACAGCTTTTAGCCTATCGATGCCTTGTGGTCGAAGAGATAGGATGATAGGATCATTGTAAATGATCCAATGACACCCTGAGTGGCCTGGCTTTTGTATATGTCTTATGACGTTTTAGCACCACACCAGGCTCCTTGGGTGTTCTGGGAGGTTGCTCGTGGAGGGTCACTTGCACATCATCCTGCATGTCCAAGCTACAAGTGCTGGAAGAAATCCTCGCCCCTACAATATGAGGAATAAATAAACCATGCAGTAGAAACTTGGATCATGTCTCAGGTACTGCAGGATTTCTTCCCTCATCAACATAGGGTATTAATCATGAACATTCAAAGTCAACTCTGAGGCTCTTCTTTATCCTGAGTCTTTTGGGAGGCCTGCCTTTTGTTGATACAGTACCAGCTGACTGGACAATGACATCGGACATGTGGAGGCTATTTTGATAAAAATACAGATACGTCATGATACATGATATCAGTTATTCCCTGCTATACTGCCTTGAACACCGAAAAGGCCAAATATAGAAGGCAATGCCTGCTACATCATGATATCCTTGGTCTGTCTCTCTTTAAAGGATCGAACAAGTTAACCGACTCATTGGACCGTGCGATTGGCATCTTGATCCTCACAGGGAGAGATGGCATGAGAGGTTTCTCACACAATCCCTCTGAATCCCTGAGGGCAACTCATACCACAGGTCAAGGCAGCTCAAAGGACATGACAAAGAATTCAAGGGGCCCCGAACAGGATGGGAACACCCGGCACAGCTTTCAGAATCCAGCTAAGCAATGTTTGTTACAGGGACAACGCCTTCCACCTTTTGTAGCCAACGCCTTCCAAACGGTCGTACTACTCCTGCGCAAGGTACCTTCTGAAGTTGCTCGGAACTCCGATCAAAACCAAGAGACCTGGGGTCTGGAGGTCACCAGAAAAGGACCCGTCACCTGAGACCTAGGGTCCCCAGTCCAGTGCTGGGATGGTGGATACTCTCTGCGTCCATTCGGGTTGGAATCAGCCTCGACTCGAATCCACGAGTTGGACCCTCCCCCCGAGGCACCACCCCGAGGCTGTGGAATAGAAGCACCTCAGCGGCGCGGGCTGCGATGTCGAGCCAAACACCACCCGCCCGCGACCCAGCTGAACGGCGCCGGGTGAACGGTGTGCCGGCCGAGAGGGAGTCACCGGTGAAAGTGCTCCAACTTGCCCCATGAAACTTAGATGATCTTTAATTCTAATACTAATTTTTGTTAGTAGTAGCTTCTTAGCTCCTAGTAGTAAGGCCAGGAGCCCCGTTCATAGCGTCCTGTGCTCCGTTCGTAGCGATGCCCTTTGCTCCTAGTAGCGTCCTTCCCAGAATTTCTTATGTCCTGCTTCATGGAGGCCCGGGCCCCAAAAAGAGTGGCTGCGCTGATTCTACCGCATGCCCAGGAGTCCGGGAACCGACCGCGAGCTTTTTGGTCCGCACTGACAGGTGGCCGATGCCAATATAGAACAGATACTGACTTGCCTGGATCTCCAACGTCATCTATGGTCACAAAGCCCTTACTATCGGCGATGTCAACAGCGTGCAAATGGATAGATGGCACAACTCCGAAAAGTTGGATCTATATGGAGGTCCAAGTGAGCGGTTTGTTTAAAGCTAAACTCTCTATTGTGTGGGGGGCCTGTCTCGCTTAGACTACTTTAGTATGTGGTCATGTCACAGTATCTCATTCAGACATGTTCAAGCAACTTTAGATAACTTTAGTGTCATCAAAGTAATATAGTAATTAATCATAATATCTTGTAATATTTTAAATATCTCGTCTGTGTGGGGGCCATTTCTTGTCCACCAGCGAATACTGTTGTTGGACAAACCTATGCCGTAGACTACTTCAGTCAAGATCAAATGAATATGCCTGATTCCTCAAATCAACATCTGGAAGGCTTACGCCATTCAATCTTCAAGCATCGCAAGTCTCATCCCGAGTGGTCCGTGTCGGCCAGCTTTGGATTTTAGATACTGACTCAGCCAGTTATTGTGCGGAAATAAAGGTTAACGTTTTTAGTGGGGAAAACTAACCACTCCCCCAAAAAGGTTTAAACATGTTAAAGTTTATCCACTGACTTGGTAGGACTATGTTGGAGATCAAGGCCGGAACGGCATCCTACAGGGAAGGAACCGGCGCGAAGAATGGGCGGAACGGGCTCCAAGATGTTCTGGCAGAGTCGGCCAGTTCCAAGATGTAATATGGAACCGACAACTGGCAAATGTGTCCAATTCAGATGGAAACGATGGAACCGTCATGACGACGTTTCTGCTACCGCCTAGCTAGCAGGGGGTAGGTAGGGTGGTTGCGTCACGGAGAAAGAAAAAGACGACCTGACCCCGAATCCCAATCCACTATAGCTCGAACTATTTAAATGGCAAATAATTAGAGGCCATCCTTAGATCAAAGAGAACTCCTTTTCAGAATCCCTTTCACCAATTCATACCAATTCCCAACTCTCGCTTGTTTTTTCACAATTCCAAATCCTTGCCAACACTTAGCAAGCTTGGAATAAGTTGTGGATTTGTTGGGTGGGAGTTTTGAAGTGCCAGCTCTATTCAGTGCATTTCAAGGGGGCAAGGGGTATAGAAAACCCTGCACACGAAGGGCTCGAATGCACTGAAAATCATTGAATTGGATATGCAAATGTGCCCAAACTCTGCGTCACGTAATTGAACGGAGGCTTACTCTTCTTCAGTTCATTGAGCAGGTTCTCCAGCCTCCAGGTCAATGGTGGTCGAGATTGGAGGTGACCCATTGTAGTTGGGGCAGGGAATGCATCCCCACCTGAGACCTCTCCTGTACCTGGTGGTGGTCACGTTCAGCCAAGTCGTTCAGCCACGTGCACGAAAAGGGTGGCCATGTTGATCCGATTGACCCCAGCATCAACATGCATCAACCATCGGATTGCAATCCAAAAGAGTTTCCAACAGAAGGAAACAACATTACAACTGACTCTAACTTAAATCTGTCACATCACACCTGTATTCCTAATGTCTAATTCAAACATATATCGCCCCGGCCGGCCCTGCAAGTCTGCCCCTGCCGCCACGGCGACTCACTCACAGACTCACTTCTTCTTGCGGCCGGCGACGGTCGCATCTGCCTGCCCTCGGCTCCGCAGCACCACCTGCTCGCAGCGATAGCACAAGTCCTGACCATTGGACGCAGCCGGACGGAGGCCGGACCGGCTGCGTAACCGCGAAACCGGGCGAAGCTTGTCCCGGATCGGGTGACTGGCGCAAGAACGAAGCAACTCTGTTGGAAGTTCCGAACACGGCGACCCAGTCAGACTCCGTAGCTTTAGTGTACCATGTCTGAAAAAAGTATAAAACAATTGACCGCCTAAGTGGACATTTAGCTTCACCATGGTGTCACCTATCGACCCATGGTGTTCTCCACAGATATTTCGGGCACATGACGTATCCTCGATCTGAAGCATCGCCTCAGCGCTCGTCTCAGACAGGTCGACCGCCTCTGTGCTCGTTCTCCCCGTTTCGTTTCGTCTCAAACAAACCGGCTCCTGAATCGCTTCGTAGAGGCGTTGGTCGTCCCCGCGGATGATGTGTTCTCCAAACTTCTGTAGTTCAGCCTGTACCCCGCGTGCCGTGGCGACCGTGCTCGCCGCAGAACTGCGAACTTGGGATCGACCCTCAATGGTCAACTCGGTCGACCTTTCATGGCACATGAACCATCAACTCCAGGGCTCACTGAGGGTCTGAAGAAAGGGAATGGATCAAATACTCCGCAGATGGGATGGTTTCAATGCCCAAACGATGCCAAACGACGCACATGCCTACGGCCTAGGCCGTGGAGTGGCGGCGTGAGGTGTCAGGCTTCAAGCTCCACTCAGACTCACCAACATGCACGCAGACAATCTGGTTGAGAGTAGTCAGGGGGGGCAGGTTCCATTCTTCTATGTCTATATTCTTCTATAGTGAGAGTACATGCACAGAGAGGTGTTCATTCAAAGCGAGAGGTGTTCGTCTGAGGACCTATGGGAGATCCCAAGTTGACAGGACCTATGGGAGTTGAATAAGGAGATGGAACCTCCTTCCAACTGAAGAGGTAGAGGCCCCCAGACTTCCATGTTCTGGCGTATGAATCGTCATCCACACCATCCACACCCACAGATTCATCTGTGCGGGCGAAGTGGAACTCTGGCCAAAGCTGTTTTTGGGTGATGCCATTTACTAGGGTCAGACTTCTGACGTCTTGTTTGCTTGAAAAACGCGGCGAAGTGTTTTCAAGCCTCTCCGGCTGTGCCCGATCGTGCAAGCGCACCTTGGAGCCCACTGAAGGAGGTAGTTGTGTAAGAGCTGCCTCGTGTGCGAAACCCGCTCCAACAGGCTTCGGTTGAGCATCACTCTCGAGGACCGGCGTGACCCGTGAATCACGCAAGCGTACATTCATCTCCGAGGTGTCGAATGAACTTCAAGTGAATTCACAGAGCAAGTCTTGTAAGGCGGGTGCCCAATTTGAGTCTTAGAATATGAGGATGAACAGTTCAAAGATGCTCAAAGCACGGGTTACCAAAAGCTGCAGTTCCTGACCCTCCAAAGAACCCCTAAACCCTTCAGGGTCCTCAAAACTTAGCAATTTGAGACCCCAAATCCCTCACCAAATCCTCCAATTCCCACATGAAATTCCCCTTTCAATCCTTTCTGGTCGGCTTTGATGCAAGTCACCAGCACCGACTGTCGGTAGTAGAGAATTGGATGTAATCCATCGTTTCATCGGTTTCGCTCCCGGAACAAGTCACTGGGTCCGTCCTCGCATGGATTGTATGCCTACATTGACCTCTCAAACCACCCCAATGTAGGCAAATAATTATATGCCAGTAGTCTCATGGAGTGTCTGGGGTTGAAACTTTCTAGATCTGTCCACATCCGATCACATCCCTTCCATGAGATCCACTGAATTTGCGTGATTTGGGTCGCAAGTGGGGCCCGGGACAAGGATGAGAGCAGCGTTTGGGACAAGAACATCGTTCAGAACCCCAGAAAGCGTTTCCTCCCACCTCCAGCCATGCAGGGAATTCCTGAGAAAATGCGCTCCGCAGATGGTCCTCGGCCAGAATGCGATCATGTGTGTTCTCCCGGAGTTCTATGTCGGGGTACCCTTTGAGAGACCCATCCGGGGACCTGTCGGACCTGTCGCAGGTTCAAACAGTTGTTCGATCAAAGTCTCGGCCAACCGGCTAGTTTGGAAGCAAAGAGAGGCCAATGGCGATGATCGAAGTCAAACGAGAATATATTAGCTGCCAAAAGGGAGATCCTTAGTTAGTTCATCAAGAGTAGTTCATTGGACGCCGCAAATGGATAGTCCATGATAGCACTTCACCTCGCCAAAGCACTTGCAGCTTAGCCTTTGAACAATCGTTGGGTAAAGAGTCAGCGGCCTGTTTCAAATGACGTGACGAATTGAACTAAGTGAGACCTCGAAAGTCTAAGAAATTGATGTTGTTGAAAAGAACATGTCTTAATTAAACCGTGCCTTCGAAGTTGAGAGCGCCGGGATGATCATCCCTTGGCGTGTGGCGTGTGACAGTTAATTTGGTATATTCTCTAACACCTCTGGACCAGCTGCATCAGGTTCCTTTTTCGATGTCCTGGCTCGGCGGTTCCAACGAAAGCATTTCCATTCCTCACATACACCACGCCGTCCACGTGAACCGCATCACAGGCCAATCAAAGGCACTAGGATCGAAGGGATCGAGTCTTGCACCTGGGCGAAAGTGCAATGAATCTGCTGAGAAACAAACAGACAAACAGATCGATTTTGGCCGACTCCTTCAGAGCGGAGATCCGGGGGTGTCAACAGCCATTCCACCATCACGCAAAGTCATGTCTTGGGTTTGCTTGAGAAACCCGGGAAGAAATAGAACATATTCCCCAGAGGTTTTACCAATAGGGAAAACACACATCACCCAAAACAAACGATGTCGACACGCTTGAGTGAGGCTGTAGAAGCATGTCGAAACATACATGACCTACCGTGAACATGGCAAACACCGGACAACTTCCCCGGGAATGCGCACAAACATAAATGTTGACCAATCCCAATGAAGATGTGCTTTCCGCCCACATCACTTGACCCGAAGCCCAAGACCTGGTCACTTCGGTTCGCCCCGCCTTCCATCACTTCGAAGCCTCGCCGAAGCCGAAGCTTCACCCCGGTCACCACCGAACGGTCGGCGAACGGCACGCTACGCCGCACGAGGCGCATATTTCGTCGGCACGCCGGCGATGAGTCGAAAAATGGCTTGGACGAAGCCCGGAGCCACCTGCCGACGCGCTGTTGCGCTGGGGCTTTTTGAGCAGAGCGAGCGAGGTCCAGTGGGTGTGTTTTCTGGGTGGAGGGGGAAGCTAGCAGCTAGACGAAGTAGATGTCCCAAAAAACGTTTTTCCATGTCCTGACGTTTTCGAAAGTTTGGAAGTCACTATATCCTATACAAATGACAACAGGATTACTTTTTGTTTAATTGCCCCCGTAGAAACCGATCCAAAACTAGTCATTAAGTCCAGGGTGTGAGTAGATATAACTGGCTAAATATGGATGGATAGGTGTTCAGCTCACTTGGCAAAAGAATTAAAGTAACTGCATCAAACACCAGAGACCTCTACTAGGGTCCCAAAGACGCTCTTTTCGCACCATTTAGGGCCTGGACATTCCTGTTTCGGATCACCAGGGCTTCATCAGTGGGTTTCACACTCCATCAGTGGGTTTCACATGGTTTGACAACCGCTCGCCCCCCCCACCCACACACACTGTAATCTGTCCACGTGGGTAGTAAAAACTATACAATTGTAACTATACTATAATTAGCTACAACTTTAATTACAGTATATAACTGCGGTACACTCCTTGAATTATTCATGACAGTGGACAATAACACGTGTTTGTATACGAGGAAAATGGTCATCCAAGGAGTCATTGTCCACTTCCATGATTATTTGTTCCAGGGAGTGCATAACATCAAATTGCCATAGATTCGAGCAAATTGAGTGACCTCTCTTTCTTTGAATCCGCAACCCCACCGGTGAGTCAACCGTCATTACGCGTTCCACATGGCTTTTCCAACCCGGTTTCCGCCGCCCCCTTCCATCCAGTGTCACGCCTGTAAGGCGTGTGGCTGCAGCAGTTGCCCGATCTTCGCCTTGGACTCATCCGCATATCTGCGCCCCAGCTTAAAGGTCTCGCCGATGTGCGAGAGGACTGACTCGATGAAGGCGATGATGGCCTGACCGCGAGAGAGTGACCAGGGACCCGGTCTTGGACGACCAGGTCCCCTGCTTGGGGTGTGTTTTTTGGGATTGAAACAAGGCAAAGGAGTTGATGAAACGGGTACAAATGGTTCTGTGCAAGATCTCAGGGTCCCAAGACAACATGCTATATTGATCTATATTGTATATGTGTTATAAGGACATATATTAGGACCCTGTTGCACTTGAGCAAAGTCCTTACACACCCGCAAAGTCCTTGGTGGGAGACCATCAAACATCAAACCAATTCTTTTTTTGTGCGTTCGGGTTGACCAAGAAACTCTTGCTGTCCGGCGGAGTTCTGGAAGGTCCAGTTCACAGAGAAACTACATTGGTTTCATCTGTTTGGGTTTGCTTTCTTCACTTCCAATCTGGCAAACAACAAACATAATCGTCACTTCTCATCCCTCGGGGAATCTGAACAGGCAAAGGGGTACATCGCACCTGTTCAATCCACACCTCACCTGAGTCTGTTGAAGGACTGACAGCTGTTGATCACAGACTCAGTTTCAATTGCTTATAACTTATATATATATATATATATAACCTAATGAAAGCTCTATATCGAGCTACAGCAGCAACTTCAATCCGTCATTGTAACACTTGCAAGATTTCCTGTCTAATTATATATATATTACATATATAGTTATATATATAAACCGTTAGAATTCTATACGGTCAAAACCCTCGCGAACTGAGCGTCCAATGAGCTTTGGGATTCAATATTTTTCCGCTTGTATGCAAATTCTACGGAAGCTGTAAACTCAGTTTTGTCCAATAACTTATCAGACTTCAAGTATATATGTAAAAATATGTAAAACAACAATGGGCCAATGATAGGAGAAATTGCTGTATGAGAGGTCCGGGGGATTCTCTACAGAATTGGAAGACCTCAAAGTATTTTCCTTACAAAATGATGGCTCCTGTACAAACTGAGGTTCCGGGAAAACCCTTATTCGGCTATTCCAGCAAACATGGTCAAAGATGGGGTCACTACAAAATGACATGTCAGCCACACACGGTAAAATCAGCGCAAAAGACAATGATCTTGTTGCCATCATAAATCTCAGGCTCAAGAGCCTAGTGTCTCTACAAAATGATATGTCAGCCATCCAGAAATTGACATCTTTCAGCACTGACTCCAGAACGTAAGATCCCTACAAAATGACGTTCCAGGGTAAGCTTTCTAGGAGACAAGGCCAAGATACTGGCCAAGATCCCTATAGAATGAGCACCCCATTTTTAAAAATGTTGTAAAACATATTCTATATAAAATATTGATCTGTAAGGTACCCAACATTTCCTGATTCTATAGGGGAAAATTCTGAACGAGGATTGTATATATAATATGTATCTAATTCTAGGGGGAGTCCATCAACCTTTCTCTCTTCACTGGATGCCTCCGCCTGGCCCTGACGGACGGAGGCCGTGCCTCCACCGCTTCCTTTTGCTGCACGAAAATCGCCACGCTCCACCTGGGGCGATGTGGTTCGTCCACGGACCGTTGGTTCGGTTCGGTTGGACGTCAACGGACTTGCGGAGTTAGTGGGTTTTGGACCTCAAACTGAGCGGAGTTGGTGGTCTCTCGGTCGGTGCAAGCTGGGAAGTCTGGGAGGATGTCATGACATTTCGGTTGAAGATGATCGAAGCAAGTCCTGGAATGCCCAGAGAGTTATGCTTTTGTTAGACCCCCTTTAGGGTCAGTGGAGGTGACAAAACCCCTACATACCCCAGCAGCCCCACATTGAAACTAGAACTAGACCTGGTCTAGCCTGGTTGTTGATATCCTTCTCAAAAGCATGGCTTCTTAAGAGGCCCAGTTCCCAAAAAGCCTCTACCGCCTCTACCTTCAAGCATCATTCAAGGCTTTGGGCCCTGTGCTGCGCCTGCAATCTCTCAGTACCTGGAAACCAGAAAGGTTCAAGGTTAGACAACATTCCAACATTCCAGACTGCCACAAAATTGCAGTCCGGTCACAGCTGCATAGTCGGCTGCAAGGTAGGAGCTTCCAAGACAATTCTGGGAGCAAATCTCAAGTATCTTTCAAACATCCCAAAGAAGTCCTTAGTCTTAGTCTTTGAGCACAAAAAAGAGATGAGGAAAGCTTTGTTTGGCTGCACAAATCCAAAGAAGTTCAACAGGTTCAATTCAATTTACATTTCTCCCCACTTGAGAAAAGGTGTGGATTTCAACTTTAGCTATAGTATCTGCCCTCATTTGTTCACCCCTGTGGATGAATACCGGTCCCTATGGAATGCGGATTCATACAGATCCCCCTTGGAGTGTCTGGGGGACGATGGGGACGAAAGGATCGAAGTTTGGGGTGCAAAAACTGTGGCCATCCGTGGCCTTTTTGATGTCCAGGAGTCTTCGACCAGTTCGGTGATCTCTTCCAGCTTGTCTTTGGAATGCATGAGGCATTGCAAACCAATGCTACTGAGCTGATTGAAGAGCTCCGTGAGCACCGGCACAATCTCCGGATCTTTGGCATATGTATGAGCCAAGATCTCTGCAGAGTATAGATAAGAAGAATGTTGATGCTGTTGAAATGCAGTCACCAAAGTGCGAGCCACATCGGACAAATTGGGTTTGAATAGATCGGGCACACAGCGCATAGAATGCTTCAACAATCGGCAGCTCTTCTCAACCTGTCGCTCGGTGTGCGGGGCGAGGGGTGAACATGGGCTTCGGCTTCCATCCGATCTGCCTCGGGTACCCCGAATAGGATGGCGCAACGTGCATCCTATATACATTGTATCACATGCACAAATCATGCTGTTGCTCTCTTCCACGCATTCGTTGGGGACGATGAAGCAGCAATCAAGCAATGTTTTGGGATTTGAATGTGCGGAACCGGGAAATTCAAATAAAATCATCCCCAGAACAGGAATTACCCATTAGGGACAACAAACATCACCCTCAGCAAAACCAGGAGAATAGAACATCCTTGTTGGAGGCCTCTTTGCTCCCTGGCACTATGCAAACAAAAAGCGGTGGATCATGTTTCCGTGTGCCGGGAGTCACCCAACGACTCCGCCCCTGACGGTCACCCACCTTATTACGTGGTGTCCCAAGCAAAAGGTGGTGTCTTCTGCCTAGCTTAGCACCTCCGCCCAAACGGAGACCTATAAGTAGGGTAGGGTATGGCTTGTCCACTGGTGACGGAAGCAGCTGGTGCACCCTGGAAGATTAACATAGAACCTGAAAATAACTGGTTTGTAGAGGAAAACAGTCTTTCAGGGTGCCATTCTCAGGGTCCATGTTAGTTTTCAGGAGTGTAGATGAAAGAAGCCTGTCTTTTCGAGGCTTGGGACAATTCCTGTGATCAAGTCCATCCAGTCTGTCCGTGGTCGCCGAGGGAACCAGCTTGGAATCCGCAGGGTGCTGTGCCAAGCATTGCCGGATCACCGGCCAAAAGGTACTGCTGATCAGCTGACCTCATGAAAAAAAGGAAAAACCTACCAAAAACGTGGATCCCTCCGGAGTGTGTAGGCTTTTTGTTGCCCTAAAGAGAGGTCCCCGCACGCATCTTGTCCAGGATTTGTGTGGTGTAAAGCAAAAAGAACATGGCCAGGAGCACCAGAATACCATCCACCCCTGAAAAGGCCAGGCCAGGAATACGGTATGTGGCTGATTCTAGTCTTCGGTGAGAAGCACTCTTAAACAACAGCTTTATCAGATCCTCACAGAAGTCTCTCAAACCTATGGAGAATTGACCATGTCTGTGCAATTCTAGTGGATGTGCCAGACTATAACCCATGACATAAAATTCGACCTCCGCATCCAAAAAGGGTGAACAGCCAGACGATCTCTTGCAGAACCCTTCGGGTCATCAGGACGAAGCCTTCGGCACTCAACCACGTAACGGTGGAAGTCCACCAAGCGGCTGGACGGGTGGACCAGCGGCTTCGGCTTATATCGCATGCCGAAGTGGCACTTGGTTTCTGCATCACATGTGGATCCCGATCATTCCACGCTCACATCTTTGTTAAGACAGCAAAAGTTGAAAGGAAACGCGATTGAGCCCTTCTACCCCCTAAAAATTTAAGACCTGCGTCTACATTCGTGAACATGACGGAAAATTCTACTGAGCACTTACCCCTCCAGATTGGATGCCTTTGTCCGTGCACTGTCATATTTTGCTGCCACGTGGCCCACACAAGCTGCTTTTGCACTGCCCTCGCGGATGTGAATCTGTCGGATGATCGTCGTGAGCCTGGTCACAGCATAGCTGGGGTAGCTCCGGTCCAAGCACCCAATGAAGCATCCCCCGGAAAATGCCGATATATTGACATATCAAAATGATATCAAAAACACATGACACACAAACTACACACACATAAAAAAGATACCATCGAAGCAATTCACTTGGTATTTACAGTTGTCACAGGTTGTCACCTTGTTGGTTTCGATGTGAGGTCGGTTGGGTTTCACCCCCAGGGCCCCAGTTCATTCGGCACATGAATGCTCACATATTCACTTCCCATGGTGCCATGGAGACTATGCGTAATACTAGGTATGTTGATGTATGTTGGGTCATGAACTTGTAGCCACCCCCTTCTCCAGCAAGAAACACTTCGAAAAAGCACTCGCAGTTCAGGGCACCGGGCACCCTGGTATACCCTGGTATACCCTGGCACAAAAGGGGCACCCTGGTAACTCATTCAGCTTGTTCTGGGTCTGTTCGGTACCATGGAAGCCGCGTCCGTCCGTGGACCGCCCCGCAAGGCACCCCGCAAGGCAAAAGGGGGTCCTTTGCAAGAAACTGGTCGACCAACAGAGGTATCCAGTGAACTAGGACCCACCAGGGGTACCTATATAGATAGTCGAACTAGGGTTCTTCAACCTCTGCTGGAATATCCTAGATCTTCCAACTGGCATACAAATTTCTGCCTAACTTGGCTGGTTTGATGGATCATACAGGCACAAATGTTGTACAGTTGGAAGATCTAGTAGGTATGGATCGTTCATGATCGTTCAAGGTAATGAATTACACGCAAATGAGTTCCGAGACTGCGAAGGTTCAGTTTTGAAAGGAAGCAAAAACAAAGGCCTGGAGACGACCAAATACCACATATCACAATTCTGTAAGTGGAAAGACTCAATCAGATTTGGAGAAGATGTGCCGCCTCTACAGCGGGGAAATACTTCCCGGCTCGGCAGATCCAACTCGACTACTCACATCTAATTCTTCCGGCCTTCCGGCCTTGCTCCCAGCCCTGCCCGCATCCTCCAGCCCCAGCCCCACCAGCCCTGCCCCAGCCTGTCTAAAATCTCACTCAGGACCACGGGCCGTTCCCTTTCAGTGTTCAAGCCCTGCACCAGAGGGGTGACCAAATGTTCGAGCGCAGATCGAAAGGTCTCCTCCTGATTCAGGCTCGCCACCTGCACCGAGGTCTGAGCAACGGGAAGGGGTGCGAATGAAGTCTGGATGGGGTGCTTTTGAGCGACTCCAAATGTGTGGAGAACAGTCTGCAAACAAACCAAAACGCCACTGAACTCGGGAGTGACTTGACCAATCCACCAGTTATGCTACTTTCATCTGGTTGGGAGGGTCGAATAGCCATAGAGATCTCATGTTTTGCCTTGCAGTAAAACCAACAGCCCACCCCAAGTGCGGCCAGGGCGACGACTGCTCCGACCCCATCAACGATGAAGAGATGCATGCGGATGGGCAAAGCAATGGTAGAGACCTAGGAATTTCACGCTGTGAACAGTCTTCTCGAGTACCCGAGACTCAGACTCTTTTTACCCGGTTGTTTGGTAGACGAGCTCCCCGGTATCCTGTTACTACGCACATGTCACATGATTGATCATGTTTAGACCCTGTTTAATCTAAACGATCCTGAAACTCAAACGTCAATGTTTTTTTGGGGATAACCATGCTCAAATAAGGATGGAGAGGTCAAAGTGCTCCAAACCACCACCAAGCATGATTTATCCAGGATTCAGTGCATTTAGCCTAGTTTCATCCAGTTCCACAGTTGCACTCGCCCCGATTGTTGGAGTGTACAGGGTTGGATCTGGCCGTGGTTTCGGACATTGAAGACCCAAGACTCAATGGATTGGTTCAAGAAAACATCTACTATACAGGAAACCATGTTCACCCCCCCCCAAATCTATGGGTGTCCTGTCTAGATGTTCCCTTACTAGTACCAGTAAACCAATTCTGGAATATATTGCATTATTGCCGCATCCTTGCGGGGCTCTGCAAAAAGGAACAGTACATCTCTGTTGTGCCAATATAGACCCGTTAGAAGGGAACATCTTGAAGTTCCTCAGGCAAATAAGTAAAGGCAACTGGTCCCAAGCTCCTTCACAAAAACATGAACAGGATTTCTACTTCTTGTCAGAACCTGCTATGTTTTGCAATAACCTGTGCCAATCTGGGAGTTAATATGCCAAGCGTTAATTCAAGTTGATGCTATTCATATAAATTCGGGTTCAGCTCAAGAAATTATCCACCATAAACCACCCACCCTTTGTAATTTGGGTAATCCAAACCAACCGAGGTCTTCTCAAACCAACCCGGCCACAGATTGGCATGCCAATCTCAGCAAGCTAGTCTTGCTCCTTTGTCCATTTCGTCGAGTTCTCCAGAACCCGTCGGACGACCCATCCGAGAAGGCGGGGACTTTGGCCCCGTCAGGTCGTTCGCTGAGGCGCAGAGATCACATGTGCCGGTCGTCGATGAATCATGTGAACACGATGAACAAGGAGACCGTGAAAAGAGAGCCCGACTGGTTCATCAATGGAACAAAAACTGTTCAACAATGGGTGAAAAAACACTACTCTGTGAGCAGTGTGCCTTTCATCCCTGAAAGTAGGCTCTGTGGAAGGGAGGAAAGCAAAGACCTCGGGGTGCAAGTAACTACTTGGATAAGCACTTGCAACTTGCAACTCAGATTCCCAATGTTCTCTTGGATGATGAGATACGATGAGTCATGCGTTCATCATGCTCTGGAGGAAGATGGAATCCTACCTCTCTCTCATATATATAATATTACATATGTATCATTATTATATTAATGGATCCTACCTAAACTATAGAACATATTTCTTACCTCGTGGGGTCGGCCGTGTCTGGGAAGCCGGCATTCCATCGGTGTCTCCGGCTGCATCCACTGTGACTGGTGGGTAGGGAGACCTGAATGTAGAAAAAAATCCGTCTCATCCCCCGGATTTGGGGAATCCACCCCGCGCAGTGTCCCGGGCCTCCGTTGTTTCCTTTTGGGGAGGTTCAGGTCCAAGGGGCGTAGAGCTGCGTCAGCTGGGGCACCAGATCCTGCAAATGCAGTTTGCCCCCGACGCAGATCTCCTTGAAGGCCATGGATGCCGCCTGCAACAAAAGAAGCGCCATGAACGCACAGAAAAATTGGAGAAACATGGCGAGCACGCGCCTTTGGACCACCATTTTGTTGGGGCCGGTGATGCGGTGAAGCACAAGGGTGGAAGCAAGTTTCTGAGCTCTTGGAGGTTTGTGCACGGAACTCTCCACTGTAACTTGTATTACAGTGGCCCCCTATGCCATATCTCAGGAAGTACGTGTCGTTTCCAATCCCCGAGCCCAACAAGCAAGTGCTTGAAACTTCTGACTCAAAGCTGCTAAAGAACTGTGAAGAGGTGAGTGAGCCAAACGACCCCATTTCTGGTATGTGAACGTATATCCTTAAGGAACTTTGGAGGGAACAACCATGGGACCCCTCCGCACGCCCTCCGCGACCTCTCCGCTGGCCTGCTGCACTTGCTTGGTGCGTTCCAACATGTTGTTGGGACTGTTGGGTGGATCAGAAGCCATCAGAAGCATGCTGATCATCTCCAAAGACTCAGTCGATGTGGCGGTGTTTTGGGAGTCCATGGACCCAGTGGGTGTGGACCTCGTGGCGTGGCGGTGCCCCCAAAATCATGGTTCGCGAAGGACAACCGAACGCTGGGCGCAGCGTAACTTAGTGGAGTTGCAAACCCCTTCAGTCTTGAGTTTGACCAGATTGTGACTTTGAAATGGACAAGTGCTCCTGCACCACGCCGGAGGGAGCAACTATTCTGGACACAGTCCCATGCAGAAGACTTGTGCATCGCCGGAGGGGTTCCATGGAAACAAGAGAAGCACCTCCAGACCCAGCAGGACCAGTTCCACAGACCCAAACCCCAGCCGGTCTGCTGGTGAGTCGTTTGAAGAACATCTTGGCGTGACGTCCTACGACCAGTGGGGCACCATCGGACCATGGATCATGTGTCTAGATCTGGACCGTGTATTGACATGGGAGACCGAACCGGCCGCCTCCGACCCCTGGGCTTGCTTCGGGATATTCGACCAGTCTAACACACCCGGACGTTGTCATTCGAGGTCGACTCGTCCTGCGAGATCCACCGTCGCTCGCGTCACTCCGATCTGCGCTCGAATCACCCATCGCCCCAACACGGGCGGACTTGGCCTGTTGGGGGATGTCTTCCTTCCCTCTACGGGAGAAACTCTCTACAACATTCTACAACACACCCCGTAAGGCCTTGGCCAAGCAGATTTAACGTTGCAGGTCCGTGATGATCTTTTGAAGCAACGTCAGTCCACTGGCTGCTCACCCAAGGTGCTGATCTTAAAAAGTCTGGCCTCGTTTTCACCCACTGCCACAGGTTGCCTCATGGGGCGTGGCAAGACGGCGCACCTGGCCAAGGCCCTGAAGCTCCAGAAGCACTTATCGGCTGGGTATGTCTCGAAACACACCCAGAAAGATCACAATCACTTGTCACTTGTCGAAGGGAAACACCAGGAAACCTAAGTTCTAATATAATAAATGCTTTCATCACAGGGAAATATGTCAACTTGCTCAGATCATTGCTTTTCTGGTGATCCACTCTTGTACATTCTAGGTGGCCCAAGAATGGTCGACCATGCCTTGTCACCATGCCTTGCTGGTGATCCACTCTTTTAGTGCCTAAACCACCAGGTAGTGACCCAAAATCCGCCAGTCCCGGTGATCTCTACATTGAATTCGGCCAGGTGGCCCAACAGTTCGATGGCCGTCTTCTTGGTGAAGTGCAAAATCGCCCCGTCCACGCGCTCGGCCCCTTCGGGCGCCGTTGCCGAGATCAAGGGCGGTAAGGACTGGATCAGCTGCCACAGCACGCTGCCTTCGCGGACCTCCGCGCGCGAGGCGACCATGGTCAGCACGAAGAAGTGCGCCTCTTGAACCTGGGCCGCCCCACGGATCGCCATCGAGGTGTTTTTCGTGCCTTCCAAGCGTACCGGCAGAAGCTGTGCATGCGGCGTGCCAGGATGATGATATTCTACAGATCCATCAAGAAGCATCCAGAACGGACCCTGATCCGGCATCCACCCTGCTCACAAACACCTTTGGAGAGCGTGGATCACTCGTCTTGTAGTGTTATTAAGCTCGTTCTTTCGTATGATATGATACTATATATATTAATAGTAAATTAAGGCGGCTTACAGGTACCCTCAGGGTACCAAGTCCCACTCGGACCTGCAGCTGTCTACTGTTCTTCCTGCAAATCCCACACAAAATTGGGAAACAATGGGGAACATCTCTTTATGTATCATTATGTATCCCATCTTAGAAAAACACCTCGACCGTCCGACCTATGACCAAGGGTGTGAAAGGGCCGCAGAGCGAAGGGGTCTCTAGGACTCTAGGATCCTCTCTTACGCAGTGAAAAGAAGCCATTGGTGTGGTACTGATCCATCTGCTCTGGCACCACTATAGCTCACTAGCTCAGCATGCTGAAGCATGCTCAAGCTCACTAGCTCAAAGGGTGTCCAGAAGCGTCCAGCACGAGATCGAGAAGCGTCCAGACGGTGCAAAAGGGAGGATCTGAGGAGAAAAGAAGGCATGCTCATAAACAAGAAAAACCGACTCTCCCCGGGGGGAGGATATATATACCACTCGGTGGCAAAACAAGAATCGGCCGGACATGGCTGTCTGCCGATCGAAGAATCGAACCACCATGCTGCTTCGGGGCATCCAAGCCATCAGACGAGGTCTCTCAAGAATGCACTGAGCTTATTCAGCATTAAGCTGTATACTCCGAGAACCATTAATTACCTAGAGCCAAATTCACATGGTGACAGCGTGTATCCTATTCCCTGTAGCAGTGGATTGATGATGATGGTCAGTAAAGGCCGTTCCCTAAAATGATGATAATTGTTTACCGACGATGACAGGCAATAGGACACCCCGAAAACATTGTAACATTGTGATAATGGTGCAAATGTCATCCAGGAGTTCGATCATCCAAGGAACTACGACTCCATTTTGCTGTCCACCAAGCAAGCTCTTCAGTACATGTTCTAATGCAGTATTCGGCGTCAGGACTTCCAAACAGTCCTCCGTGAAGAACCGCAAAGAATGCAGGAAGGCGCAAGAAGCAAGTGTGACAATTCCAAACAAAGCACATCTTTTTGGAATCAAGTCTGTTCGAACTTGAGTATAGTCCCGAAGACAACCACCAGTGTGGTGACTTCCATGTTTTTTTTCCTCATGCCTCATGTGCTCCGAAAGTCTGCTCACCAGGCACGACTTCCCCAGTCCTCGACCAGGCCCAAAATCCTTTGTCTGTATGCGGCGATTTCATCGTCCTTAGCCCGAGAAACTGCGGTGGGCTCGCGTCGGCGGTGTTCGGAAGACAAGGCCGCATGTTTTAGAGTCCAAAGTCACAATGTCATGCCCTGGTGTAGCTTGTGGATAGTGGTCTGGTGAACTTCCTGACTTATGCGCCTTCCTGATTGATGATGTTCCCATGTAACCAAAGAGAAAGTCCATATGGTCTGAGACAGGCAACCACGCGACCGACCCGTCTCAGGTCTCCGTGTTCGACCCTTCGATGGCCCGGTGGTTGATGCACTCCCATCATTGATCATATAAAAGGACCCTTTGGTTGATCTCCCATCATATACCTTGAGTCACAGTTTGAAAATCATGACCCAAGGATAAGGGCTTTTTTTAAAAGAAGTTACCGTATGTTACAGTTGCATATGACATCAATATGACAGTAGCCTCCTCCACACTGACGCGAACACACCTTGGTTTCAAGGCCGTGGAAAAACACATCGGCAGCCGGCAGATGGTTCAAGGTGGCTAATGGTGGCTATAGAACATGTCCAACCATGTCCAACCTGTTCCAACTAACAGCCATTAATTTGCAAAGTCTTGAAGCTCTCTACAGTGACAGGCCTTGGAACCCAAGCACCGACTTTGGGCAGGAAAGCTATTTCCGTACAGTCCTGAGGGTCTGAACCCGTCTGAACAACCAGTTAACACGCACAAACACCACGAAACACTTCAATGTCAGTGCTTGGACATGCCTGGACATGCCCGAACACCCCCCCCCGAGGTTCCGTCATTGGGGTCTCCTTGCAAACAAGCTTCCGCAAGAAAGGGATCTTGTGTGGTACTCAGGGTGCAACGCCGGATGCTGGCGCTCAGGAGCTCCAGGTAGACACCCTGAAATTGATCGATCTTGACGTCAGTCTCCTCAGCACCGCGAACGGACACGTCGCGCCGCGAACGGACACGTCTTCCGCTCCAGCAGGCTCCAGCCGCTCCGCTCCGAAGCTCGAAAAAGTGACTCTTGGAGGCGCACTATGATGTACTTGAGAATTGCAAATCCCTGGGCCCGCCCTAGGGATGTAAAAACCACCTCCTCAGGTTCGCCCCCAAAACCTACCTCAACCACCTTCTCCTCAGGAGGTGGGCCAGAACACGCTGGCACTGGTCCAACCCATCGACCCCATCGACCGGGGAGACTGCCATGTGGCGCCCAGCGGCCGTCTTTGAAGGCGACTCCCACGTACAGCCCAGCCCTATATGCTGACTCCCTCAGTTTTTCCTATGGATAAAGGTGAACTGACCGGGTCGACCCCTATCCTATCCACATCTATCACCAGGTATCTGTCAGTTTTCCAGTGGATGATGGGGCCTGGTTGGCCTTGTTCCAAAATAGTGATTTGGCTTGTGACTGTTACAGGTAAGAACGGACAGACCCAAGGCTAACCTTTCCTTCTGCTTCTTCACCATTGGTCCCTTCGACCCCTCGGAATCGGATGAGAGAAACGCTGCAAAAACCACGTCCTGTCGACCCTCCGGAAAAGGAGGTGCCTGTACCCCAGACTTGTGAACACCTGGAGACTGGCCATCTTGGATGACTGCCCTCCATGTCAAGCTGTTGGTGGTCTTAAGACATCGTCAACTCCTGGTATACCATTTCACAGTTGATTAAAACAGAAATCATTCGTCTCCAGCACCACCCATTCGACCGGGCACGAGCTTGTGGGTGGTTGATCGACCCTCCGGACCATGTTCTATTCTATCCAACCCAACTGGGCGCTGCCCTGCTGGTTTCCAGATCTTCCCATTCCCCGTCATCGCGTTGAAGAGTGAAGACAGCGAGTTGCAGGATGCCTGCAAACTTCATCTGCCAGTCTGTGCCAAAACTCCAAGGGTATCGAGCCTTGGCCGCATTTTCTTCAAAAATCGACGATTTCTGAGCCAGAGCTGGATTGGTTCGGAGATCAGAAGAGCACCATCAAAATGGACAAAACTATACCAAATCCAGCCAGATCCTGTCAAACTCTCTGATCTACAGTTATCTGCTTCTCTGAACCTTCGGAAAAATCGTGTGAGTGTCCTCTTTCATTCTCCCCCCACCGTCTTCTTCAGGCCAGCAACTGATTTCCTCGGACGGGAGGTCAGTGCAGCGCAAGATCACTTGAAGGATACTTACCTCGGAATTGCATGCCCTCACGGCCTGCGGGCCCTACGGGTCTGGCTGCAGGCTACCCCAGACCGAATTGTAAAAAAACATTGCATGATCTTTATTTCAATATGAAGAGACGCGTTTCAAACATATAACTTATTAGAGGCTTTGGTGAGAGAAAGACTGACTTCGTCTTATCACGTCTGTTTTATCGATCCTTCGATTCCTTAATTAAGGACTTCGGGGAGAACTGACAGTACCATTCCGACAGCTTGCGATCTGCGCGTCGGCACATTGGGTCATCACCAGGGGCACCAAACATTCGCCCACTTCCACGTAGATGCGGCACACTTGCAGCAAGCTGTCTTGCTCCTTGGCCAAACGCAAAAGGAGCAAGAAGAAGGGCATAAAGAGCAAGTCAAGCAAGTGGCCGAGGGTTTTGCTACAGCTCACATTGGCATAGAAACCACCTCTTTGCAAAAGAACGAGGAGTCCTTGTCTGTGTTATGTCAATTGTAGGGGTAACAGCTTCTATCTGGAGGCAAAAAGGCTTGAACATTAGGTGGTTGTTTCTTGGGTACTAGTAACTGCATGGGCAGAGACCTGGCCACAGACTTCTGGCAGCTTCATGGACTCGGCCGGCAAGGCGTTCGGGTTTGGGAGAAACAATAATTTTTGGAGGGTTCCAAAAGGGGTGGGTCCAAGAAGTTTCTGACTGGCACTCCGTATTAAAAATGGAATGAGCGATGCCCCCGCCACTGTAGATTTCTCCATCGGCATTCTTTACGAGTCGCAGCAGTCAGCATTGTTCCGGCCAAGGGGCTCCGAAACTTCCCAACCACACTCCGCCCCCAAGCCTCTCATAGCCTCTCGAAGTTCAACGGCAACCCGCCTGAAACCTCCGACAACCCACCGAAACCGACCGTGTTCGTTCGTTTCGCCCAGCGTCATCCAGGGCCACTTCCATGCCGCGGCTCAGTTGCGTCTCGAACTTGGACCTGGTGGTTCCGGCCACTCCCGGTCTTTCCCGGAGAGGAGAGCTTCCTACCGGGGAGGGGTCCGGGTGGGGTGGAGGAGTACCGCTTTTGAAAAAGTATTCAAGTCCTGTGCTAAAAAATGATGTCCAATGTGAAAGACTTGGGAAAAAGGCGTGAGGTCATTGAGGTCATCTACCTGGAGCTAGTGCTAGGGCGCAAGGGCAGTTGCAAGGGCAGTTGCTTGATGGACTACTTCATAGAAAAACACCAACCAATGGAGCCTCGAACATCGAACCATCAAAGTTCTTCATCCACCCAGGACCTTTGATCTTCCACCATCTCACGGCCCTACTTTGGTCGAATTCGCGGCATCTCAAGGGCCTCAAACAATCAGGTACAGTATGCATAACTAAAAGGTTTCAAGAGCGTCAGAAGACCCATGGAATCAAACACATGCGTACCAGCACCTTCCAACAATTGGTGTGTTTGGAGATCCACAAGTAGTGTATATAGGGGCTTCCAGCCAGGTGACGCTCTTGGTTGGTTTAAACAATTCAGCAAACACCGCTCCCATGGTCTTCACGGAGACCACATCCGCCGGTGAGGTCTCCGACCCCAGTCCAAGGTCTCCGCTCTGTCGACGGTCTCCGGGAAATCCACGGTCTCGTGTCGACATTTGTAAAGAACGAAGGACTAAACAAAAAGAGCGTTGTTCCTTTTTTTGCATTTTTTTTCGGCTAGTTGTTGCCCCAAGGTGGTCCCCACGATGGAAAGGGTGTTGGACTCCAAACCGACCCTCCCTCCGGGTCCATCAGCCTCGAAGGTCCAAACGATTCGGGCATGGAAAGAACTGGAAACCCTTAATTACACTCCCTGGAATGATCATGAAAGTGGATGGCCGCATAAGGATGACTGTTTTCCTCGATAGCTCGATACTGTGGCTTTCCCCCTTTCATGATAATTCCAGAGAGTGCAAAGGTCACCAAAGGAATCGACCAAGAGTTCACCCGCAAAGCGCTCGGTCCCGCTGTCGGTGGACCAAGACCGCACAACTAGCATGCTCAACCAGCACGAAATTCGGAGCTTCAAGGCTCTAAGGTCAAATAATACCCAATCACCCCAGCTGGACATGCTCCTCTACATGGACCTTGTGGGTAAAACCTGCTGTATCCCCCGAACTCGCCAAGCCTTTCCTGACAAACATGAACAGGTCAACCAGGGACCAAGACCTGCTCATGCTTCGCTGCTTCACCCATGCCGCACTCATTTTTGCCGTCTTCCGGCCTCAAAGTGCCCAATTGACTCAAAATCACTTCGATCACCGGCTGGTACGCCGAGATGTCGCTGGAACACATCCTCAGTGAGACGACAGGAGTCTTCGCCAAGCAAAAACCGCCTCGCATGGCGCTCAAGAACAAACGGGCGGGATGGATCATGTTCTGGTATACGGTATATATAATATTGCCTGTTTGGTAAGTTGGTACAATACATCACAGTAGGCTTGAGTAGATCGGTTCATACAACAAGCATTTCCATGGAAAAAGGTGCTGGTCTCCGAGGGAATCCACTTGGCATCTACTCTGGGAACCGACTGAGACCAAGCGTCTTCGTGGCATTCGGTCATCGTCTCGCGTCGAAGCGAGGATGGTCCACTTCGGGTAAAGACACCATCCAGAGAAATGTGTTGTCCCCTTAAGCTTGGAATGTGAAAAGACACCGGAAAGCTGTCTATCTATTGGAGCTATAAATAAACAAGACTTGTTGGCGACTGAGTCTGAGCATCCGCAGCAGCTCCACGATGATGTCGGTGGCTGTTTCACTGAGATCGCCGCCGGAAACCACGTGTTTGAAGCACTCAGGGATCAAAGGATTCCTAGAGCTGCAGGAGCAAGGCATGACAAGGCCCCAGGCGGGGTGGCCAAGGACAAGGCCTTCTACCACCATCAAACAATCCATGGGCCCCAGGAGCGGCCCCTTGCGGCCGGACCAAGCCATCGAAGTCGGGACGTCAACATATGTCCGTCCGGAAAAATCTTCCTTAAAGCCACCCAGACTCTGTGCAATATCTGAGGCTTGCAAGTTGGTGTACTTGATCCAGCTCAGAAAGCACTCCAAAACCTGACCACGAAAAATGGAAGCAGGCGAAAACTCGGTGCACTCTGCAACAACTGGAAGCGCGGAACAACTCGGTGCACTGGACTTGTCCGTTTGACTCTGGACCGTCTTGTTCCCCTCAAGACGTGTCTCCACTTTACACTTCAGCTCTGAATCTCGGTGTCTGCCGGACCGCCCATGAGGTCGGCCGAGGAGCTTTCCTTCTCGCTTGCACTGTTGGGCATTGCAGGTTCAGAAGGAATTGGACCACTTGAGGCGTTGCCTCAAACGTCGGCGTGCGTCACGCGAGAAGAGCCCGGGTCATCTGGGGCGTCGAACGGTCACGGAGGTCCCAGGCATCTGAAACGCAGAAAAATCTACGGAAAGCTTAGCCCTCCCCAGACGCGACCCTGGACCCGAACCAACTGCTACATGTTGGTTCGGTCCAAAACGCGAGTTGTGAGGGTCAAAACCCTAGCTATGAGGGTCCAATGAGCCTTTGGGTCTTGAGCATTCTTGAAGCCGCCAACCGTTAGGCGATCCTCGTGAGATTGAGAAGGTTCTGTCAGATGGGTGACGGGTGGCTTTTTGTGCCTGACCATGTAGATACCGTCTAGACAAAGGTGGGGGAATGTAGGATCATGTAGGTAAGTATTATGTACAAGGACTCTTGGGATAAAAACATATCCATCTCATTCCATCTCAAGAAGATATCTCAAGACTCAAGAGGTCCAAGGCCACGTCGGTCAGACCAGAGGCCAGCCCCTTACAGCTTGAGCCCAAACAGGGTCCAAACACTAAAGAGCCCAAGTCTGCACCGCTTCAGTTGGCGAGACTTAGCTTCAGCAATCCCCCCCCAACCCTTGGAGGTCCTAGCGATGGCCTCCTTTGAGGTATATAGATATACCTACATGTATATGGCCTGCATTATATATATATGGCCTCAAAGGCGGTAGACATATATATATATATATGAAACACCGCTTGCGTAGAGGTTCCCCCACCCTACCACCCAGAGGGA